AGAGCAAGAAGAGTAAATAAAGTTGTAAATATGGATGGGCAGAAGAGTACATACCTCAAGAAAATCGAATCTTTTAGGAATATTTCAAAAAAAAAATAATTGACTACGCCTGTAAATACTCTCTACTCAAGGTTAGGGGAACAAACGGGAGGAGTTTGAACTTTGAAGTTGGAAGCAGAACAAGCTACTGGCAGGCTTTCATGGGTTCAGTGACGTTTAAGTAGTCCAGTATGGTATTCAACAATGCATTACCTGGGCGGTGTCAGGGCTCACACAAAGTACTATTAATTCCTGAAACTCTGCAGAAGAAACAGAATTTCAAACAAGAAAAAAAGCCATTTTTATAACGTTCTTCACATCTTCAGGGGGTGCTCAAACTCGTCAATTTTTTCTTGTTNCTGGCAGGCTTTTATGGGTTCAGTGACGTTTAAGTAGTCCAGTATGGTATTCAACAATGCATTACCTGGGCGGTGTCAGGGCTCACACAAAGTACTATTAATTCCTGAAACTCTCCAGAAGAAATAGGAGTTCAAACAAAAAACGATTTTTATAACATCTTCACATCTTCAGGGGGTGCTCAAACTCGTCAATTTTTTCTTGTTTCTATGGAGTCCATCTCAATATGGAATATTATCGAGTGTAGTCGTGCTAGCGCCCAGCTTCATTCATTATGTATTGGCTCCTTATCGACGACGAAGGCGCAGCCTGGACCTCTTCACTGTGAGAAAGGAATGCGTGGGAACCGAAACCGCGAAAGTTACGGTAGCCGCAACTAATGGAAGACAGCGAGGCTGATTGTGAGAAGGAAGGAAGGACATGGGGAGGAGAAAGAAGAGATGGATGGAAAGGAGAAGTACGGGAAAGAAGGAAGAAGGGTCACGAACCTCCATAGACAGATGAGCAGTCCTTGTGTGGGACTGCTCTGTACAGCTGGCTTGGAACCATAATTTGAAGTTGAAGAAAAAAAGAGAAGGCAGAATTTGAAAGGCCTGAAAATTAACGAGAGGATAGATAAGGATGTCCGAGGTAGGGAAATAAAGAGGAAAAGAAAGGATGAGATCCAGTGGAGGATAGCAAGTAATGAGAACTGAGTGTGTAGATGGAATGGTACTGTGAACTGGCGACAGAGCCACGGTGACAGTAATCGAAGTTGATAGGAGTCCTAAAAAAGGCTGTGTCACAAGAAGACTTACAAAGGGGCGAACTACAAGCGAAAAAAGAAAGAAAAAAGGAAAAAAAGGGAAAAAAAGAAAGAGGACTGATGTTCTCGATTGTGCAATTAAGAAAAAACCCAAAAGAAACACGAGATTAAAGGTGCTACTAGAACAGCAGGTGACGTACACAAGGTAATATGCGCAGACAAAACCAGTAGGAAGGTGGAGAAGCAGAAAAGTTCATCGTGCTACTCAGACGTCGCCTCAACGACAGCTGTACCTCTCAGTGGCTTAGTTGAATCTATGGTAACTGCCTTGTTAATTATTATTTTAATGAATGCCGCCCAGGTGCTTGTTGGGTGAGGTTGATTAATGATTTCTCATAATCATCTCGATCATTCTGCCTCATTCTCTCATCCTCGTTGTCTCTCCTTCCACTGTCGTCGTCGTCGTCGTCAAATGACGACCATACACAGATGTCACAATAGAACTTCATGAATTGTTAACGTGGTTGGGCAGATTGATGGAGCGACGCTGACGACGGCTTTATGTGATGGTGGTGGTGGTGGTGGCTGCGTTTGAAACCAAAAAGATGGATTTGTCGGGATTCGGGTCAACAAATGATCGATACCGTACCGAACAATTTCCGTGCAGGATGCGTCAAGCTAATTATCTCCTTTTCTAGATGATAGGGCAAGTGTCATCATAAAAAGGATATCATGTGATGCAAAAATGGTGGTTCTATAAAAAATCAAAAAAAGGAAGATAAAAATTTCAGACACCAACTAAAATGTCCATCTCCCTTTACTTGAGCAGACGTTTTCCATGCTCCAGGAGGAATCAACTCGTGAGTCAGTCCCCGACAATAACTCTATCAGGAAATAGAAACAAGAGCTCTACTACTCAAAATATAGAGTAGGAAGTAGGCTGCTGATGAAAGGTTAATAAAATAGTCAAGTACATCAATGCAAAACCCCAGCTGAAAGTACGAAGCGGTACTGAAAAGAAGCCGTTCGGGACGAGGCAATGACTCTGGGTGGACGAATGAGTGTGTGAGTGTGTATGTATGTGTTCTCGTCCGCTCTTGCTTTCGTCCAAACGATAGTGAATTATTCGTTCACCGAGAATAGACTATTGCTGCTGGAGGCGTTCATATCCAATGATATGGGGGGGGGGGGGCTGTAATCCGTAGGACGCCAACAGACTACATCATCGTCCTAGTGATTAAGTCGTTGTGTTGTGTACCTATATGTCCGAAACAAAGGTTCCAATAGATATCAAAGAGTGCTTCCATCGTCGTAATACCTAACAAATGGTCATACCACTGAGTTCTAAACAACGTCCCTGAAGAAAATGTCGTCCACTTTCAAAACTTCTTCAATTTGGCTTCATACAGTTCAGTAGTTGTCTGAAATCACCAGCAATTTCTTGTTGACATTCATTTAGCCACATTTTATACTTAACTAACGATGAAGCTAGCAAGTTATAGGTCTTCATATCACTCACTATCATCAAATATCACCAAAAATTACAATGATATCGAATTCTCAGCAAGCCTCTACTCCAATCCAAGGGATTTTGGTGCACATTATATTAGCAGAACCAGACTTCCGTCCCTGTGAATCCCTACACTTCGTTGTAAATGGATTTTCCTCATTGATATCTATTTTTTTCTTCTCAAATTGTAGTAAATACAACTCTAACTTTAACTTGGGCTTTACTCTTGGCTTATATTATACAGTGATACTTCCTACATAAGGATCCATCCAGCCAGAACAATGAACACTGAAGAAAACTCAATAATGTTTGGAGGTTTCAAACTTTTTATCATGATTATTATCATTTCTGATTAAATGCTGACAAAATAGACGAATAGTAAGGGGATTTACTTTCAGAATTTATTTTTATCGGTAACTTTGAATTAAAGTAAACGAAGATGTTAAAAACCCTTCAATGTGACTGCATTTTTTTTCGAGTGGAAGTATGTTTACAGATGATAACAGGCGTCTTCGGTTTTTTTTTGGTTTTCATCTATGAAATCATTTTTAGGTAATATTGTTAATTACTATAACATATCACTAAGCCAAATATTATGATAAAGTAACGATGTGCCGACCTCGACCCTGCAACCTCTGATGCAATCGGATACACCTTGTTTTACCTGGCGATTAACAGCAGTAGGCATTCTATGTACTATGTACACATTTGTCTGTACAGCTGGCTTCTGACCTTTTGCCAGAATACGGTAGTGTTTCTATTTCCACAGACGGTCAAACTAACTAGGTGGGTTGCCCCACCTGGTAGACCTCTCTGTTTCTGTGAGTTTCTCGGTTTTGTCGAGCTTTTCTCAGTATAGACCATCAGAAACTGCCCCTAGCCTCCAAAAAGGCAGCGATAGGAAGAATAATCTTGAGCCCCGCTTCCCACTTACCAAGGTCCCAGGAAATTTGTATTGGCAGCCTCTCGTAGTCACTAGATTACAGCTCCAGCTAAAAACGAGCTTTGGGCAACACAACGGGTTCCGCTGGACAGTATGTCACCCAAAAGTTTCTAACAATGGTCTAGTGATCGAATGTCAGATAAGCATGCGTGCAGCGTGCACTCCAAACCAGCAGAAGTCGCTAGTTCTCTTGGATTTGATGCCTGAAGAAGCACTCACTCCCTGACTGTTGAGCTATGCACAGATTCGGTTGCTATCGCTATAGGATTTGCTTGTCGCCTTTGTTTAGAGAGAATTTGGAAGTATTTGTCCCGGATAGTAATCGATACTGCCCACAAAGACTACCTACGCAGTTTGATATGAAATAATCAGTAGCATGATTTATTGTCGATGGATGACGACGACGACGAAATGTCCAGCCACGCCTTTTGCTCTGGTGGACGGCGAAACTTGTCAATTGTCGACTGCCGGCCGCGTTTAATATTTCAGCATGTAATCAAGCGCATGGCCGCCAATATCTCCAGAGCAATGTGTGGGGAGCATGAGACAGACAGCTGGAAAATTTCATACTCTTATTGTTCTGCATTCATAAATAAGTCAGTCAGGCAGTTATTACCCGGTCAATAACTGCACTATATCACCTGTATAACGAACACTGGCCTTCTCCCTAGGGGCGCTCGTCAATAGCCTTAACAAATGGACTACCCTCCCCGGTTCCAAGATGGTTTCCTGGGTGTCGACGGCCAAGGAAGAATAGCTACAGTCTCACATCCAGCGCATCCCCGTCTCCGGGTTACCTGTAGTGCGTTTGGCATTGGGCCGCTGATTGGTCGATTGGGGGCTGAGGGGGCGGGCAAGAGCACCGCCCGCTAACGAGCCGCACTTGCGATGCAGGAACCCCAACGGCTCTACCCGTCCTTGAATAGTCTTCAGGGACAACTAAGTGGTTCTATTGGACAGACTTCTGGTGGCCGCTATTCACCGTCTACAGCTTACAGAAATCGAATGCAGCCGGTCAGTAAAATATCCGTTGATTTTGGCCTCTTCGGGCCAGTTTTCACCCAATTTTCGTCCTCTATTCAGTCGAATTTTCGCAACAAGATTTTCACCATTTTAAATTCTTCGCTAAGCCTTCGAAAGAGCGGTTTTCAGGTGGTCTCAGACCTCTTCAATGAACCCTCATAGTGTCGCTTCGTCTATGCATTATTCAAATTCATTGCGTATTTTACGGCGTCGTTGCATTAAAAATTGATTCCGCTCATAAATTTACAAGCGACGAAAAACAACACTTGATACTTAATTAATAACATTAGTCAATTATTCACCAACACTGCATCAGAAATGTGAATTGCCAAGCCCCGGGGCAGCCATCCGTTCCAGCCACAAGTAGCCAAGTAACTTCACAGGATCAAAATCCAATGGGAACAGGGTCTGATCCCGAATTCTTGGTGGCTGGGGGTTTGAGGGATGGGCATGCCATGAGTGGGCCTTTCAGAGTCCCGAGTTGACCCGGACCTGTTCCGTCTTTGCCTCCCACTTTCAATTTCCAATACCCCATTCGGGAATATCTTTTTCTCACGACGACGAGCCCTTGGAGGACTTAATTAGCGAATGATGACGTCTTTCATATCACATGTCTCGTTCACACACTCAGGCTACGGTAACAGATGTTTTCTAAGGCATCGATTCTCAATTGTGGGCGCCCACGGTTTTCCAGCACTGTCTGGGACTGGGCTACCCTTGCTATCACGGGTGGAACCCAGCCCTCTTACCTCCTACAAGCAAAGTGGCTAACGTCAACTCCATAAATCGTTTTCAGTTCAACAACTCCTTATTCGGTTCGTTTGATGATCCGCTGTTCCAAGCACGAGCAGCCCAGGTCGCTTTGGCAGATATGGACGTCAAGGTGAACATCACCAATCCACTAATGCGACCACACGATATGTTTAGGTTTGTCAGACAAAGTATTTTATTCCCAAATGGGAGATGAAAAACTGATTTCCCTTTTCAGTAATTACCTAATGACATCGACGAACGATCCAACGAACATCTATCACGGATTGCCTGCCGCATCTGAAGGTTTTGACCCATCTGTTCTCGTGCCCACCTCATCGGAACAAGAACAAATGACCCCTTTGCAGCAGGTATGATTATCCCCGAAATTCACCTGTATTCAGTGAAATATCATGGTCATTTAAGGTAATGGCTATGCAAAACTACGGTGCCTCCTCACATTTCCCTCAATATCCCATGGCATCAACATTCCCATCAACGATTCCTCCTCAAGTCACCAGATACCCGTTAGCTGCACCGGCTACAGGTAGACGCACGCCCTTAATACTATATTCAGGACTCCCATCAGAAATGTTCTTATTTTCCAGAAATCGATACCGATCCACGGGAATTGGAACGATTTGCTGAGCATTTTAAACAACGACGTATAAAACTCGGAGTTACCCAGGTAAGGAAGCTCGGGGTTTCAGATCCCGATTGTACATCCCAGTAAAAGGGAAGAAAAGAGATTTATAGGGAGTGAAGTCCAAATCCAATCGAAAACCTCCAACAAATTCGGCTGTGTGGTCTAGATACCAAGAATCTGGGCAATCCGTAACAACCACCAAAGTAAGTAGTAAAGCAGTTGGGGAGCAGGGGAGGAGGAGGGAAGGGAGAGAGGAGACATTAATGTTCCAGTACATGCAAAAGGAGCGGATTTCGATTTACTTCTGATTATTCACTCGATCAGGTATCTCCAGGTGGGCTGAATAGGCACGTCTGGTTTTTTGAACCCTCGGAACATTGGCCAACGCTGAAGAGCTAAACTGAGTAAAATGCGATGAACTATGGCTAGCTGTCGACCACTGGGGATAGATATTTTATAGTCACGAGCAAGGGAGCAAGGTAATTAAATGAATATTTCAAGCCGAAGAGTAAGGACTGGATAAGATGGGCCATCGGGTGACCAAGAAGACCAAAGAGGCCGGACTTTATGGCGAAAAAACCTTACCCTATCCTATCTCTATCCTCCTTATCGGAGGCAATCCCATTGAGAACAATAAAAGCTCTTACAAATATTCAACAATTCTGCTTCAGTGTTTTAGTGGTCATTCATTTTATTCAAATCTTCGATTGTAGGCTGATGTTGGTAAAGCTCTAGCGCATCTGAAAATGCCAGGAGTTGGATCGCTCTCGCAGTCGACAATTTGTCGCTTCGAATCCCTAACCCTTTCCCATAACAATATGGTCGCTCTGAAACCTATTCTTCACAGTTGGTTGGAAAAGGTCGGTCTACCTAGCGGCTAGCAGACTAGTACATATATCTAACGATTCTTCCGAATCTAGGCCGAAGAAGCCGTAAAGCAAAAAGATGGCTGCGGAGACATCTCAGGAATTCTTCCGAATACCGACAAGAAGCGAAAGCGGACCAGCATCGCAGCACCTGAAAAACGACTCCTTGAGGACTATTTTAGGTAAGACAGAGGAATGGTCAAAAGGTGGACTCAATTCAATTTCATGGTACGTGATTACAGACAACAACCGCGACCGTCTGGTGAGCGAATCGCTGCTATTGCCGATAAGCTGGACCTCAAAAAGAACGTCGTTCGGGTGTGGTTCTGTAACCAGCGACAAAAGCAAAAGAGGTAGTTTTTCAATCATATTTAGCCCTGTGGACGTCCTAGGACCAGGTACCCCGTCTGGAACGTTTATATATCCCGGGTTGATTGATCCATCGGTCACCGCTTCAGAACGATTAGATGGATGGGCTTCTGAGCCACTTGAATTCAGCTCAGCATCATTTCGTTTCCAACCAAACTCCAGTTTCTTCCGCATTTGTGTCATACGCCATTCCTTTACCCAATCCCCCCATTTTCGTCATGTGCGGGAGGGTTCTGGCTATCTTCAAGCTCGTTTCTAGTAGAATATGTGACTGGTATGAAACGATAGCTGAATTTTATTCAAGTCACCCAGGCATCCACAATTTTTAGTTGTTTCTGAGGGAAATTAGATAGCCGCCGCGCGACCGCACGCTCTAGTAACATCGAAGTTGCCTCACCTTTGGTTCTAAGGGTACCTGGGGAAGGCAGCCATTCTGATAGTATGAGCAGCACTTAAAACCACTCGGCTCCAGTTCAGTGAAAGGCCCATAACTTCACGTGATTCCCAGAATCGTTTTCATTGTTGCCATGATTCCGGTCCCCTTCTCAACTGCTTCTACTCGCTTAAGTAGACTTCTGTTGCTGCCATTTCTCACTTCCTCTCTACTCCTTTACAGAGATTTCAGGTCCCAATTCCGCTGTCGAAATGGGGCGCCCCAAGCGCCCCGACTCATGCAATCGGCCGCCAGTGGGAAGTGTCCTCCACCGTTCAGCGCTCTTCCCAGTTACTTCGATCATAGCCAACATACCAGTCAAACACTCAGCCAAGAACTCAAATTTCAATGATGGTACAATTCGGCGATGTGATAGCGCTGTGTATGTGTTGTGACCATCATATAGGATTATATCGATTTGTTTTGATCGAATTATCGATTGACAAATGGAGCGTGTGAGTTCCTTACCGGTTTTCTGCCGTGGCGAGATGACATTAATGCCATTCCCCTCGTTCACTTCTCTCGTTTACTGATCTCAATCACGCAATCAATTATGGTCTCTAATAATTCGAAATCTCTTCCAATCAGGGTATTTTGTCAGTGTGTACATAGATTGATTGAATTGATCGATTAATTAGACAATTTTCGTTGTCGAAAAGAATTTATATTTCGATAAATTATTAAAACTGATCTACACTTGTGAAAAAGCTTCCTTAAATAGGAATCCAGCTACTCCCACAAGTCGGAGTGCTTATTTAGAACATTCTCCAGATGATTTCTAAAAGTTAGATAACTCAATTAGATTCATTCCAGGAGTAATAATACAGATCTATAAAAAACTTCTAAATCCAGTAAATCCAGTAAAAGTAAAAACCATACAAATGTAACATGTAAGGGAATTATTATATTCGGATAGACTGATTAGCCCATTGGCGACCGCGCCTTTTATACTGTCCTTACAATAAGTTTTATTTTCTCTTATAACTTTAGTTGGAAATGAATGATTCCTGGACCACAAAGCCTCAAGATTCTCCAGAAGGCTGTGAGCTCAGCTGATATTAGAAAACATAGAAAAAATTGTAAGAACACTTGATAAATAATATAAATACTACAGGAGCACGATATGGTGTGGCCCGCCGGAGTCGTCTATGACTTCCCAGTCCTGTTTTGCTTATTCACATAGATAAATGAAACAAAATCCCCTTGTTGGAAAGTCTGGATTCGATCGATTTATCGATTGCTCTCAGCAGATTCATTGTTATCCCCAAAATCCCCATGTATTAAAAGCTGTTTACAAACAAAGCTTAGGCCGACGGCTGACTTTGACAAGGGTAGCAAAATTGAAGAAAATTGGATTAGTCCAAAAATTTAATTGAATACGCTGACGGAAGATCTTCCAATATTCATCTGAATCATCTTCATTCTCTGGGAATTTCCTTACAAAATGAGTACAAGATGAAAGCTTGAATTCGATCAATTGGAAACGATCGATATATTGATTTTTGTTAGGTTAAGATCGCAATCAATAAATGACTGATTTGGTTAAAACAAGAGAAATACCAGGGCATCCCTGCGATGTGCATCTCGAAAAACGCTGTAATTCTATTAATTATTCCATGAACTAGTTTGGATAAACTCGAATACATTACCTACTTTCGAATGACCTACAGTAGTTAATCTTTTTGGAATTTTTCGTCAGGGATATGTTGAATAACGTTTTTACCAAACATTCCCGGTATCTAAATACATCAACATAAGGGGGTGTTAGGTAGACATGCGATACAGTAGTAGGAAGGTGGGAAGATCGATGACGGAAGCTGCAGGGAGCGGAAACGGCAGACGAACAGCCAGCCAGTAGACAGCACGACTAGAGCAGAGTGGCCGGCAGTTGCTAGCCGGAGAGGGTTGCCTTGACGGCGAGCCACCAGACGAGCACGAAACTAGAACGACATGAATGATTCAGTAGGTAGTGGAGAGGAAGGACGAGTAATGAGGGATTTAGCTCGTCGTCGCTCTTTCCTGACGAAACCAAGGGGCATAAGCGCCTGGAGATTGAGCAGAAATGGCAGGTTTTGCTGTGGATTTTGTTAGCGGATTTCCAAAAGCTCCAGGATTCCCTGTGGTCCTCCTCTGCCATTTTTCGGCAGTCTGAACATTTAATTATGACCATTTTACGACATTTCAATTCATCGAGCATTCGGGCAGCTATCTATAAATGACGAATAGTCGTGAAACGTTATGAATAGACTCACGTGCTACGCGTTTGCTACATCGGTCGGGTTTTTTACTAGATACTGGGAAGTACCAATAAAGGTATCTTTTCAGAGGAGCTAGAGGAGCTAGGATCTTCCTCCCTGGCCTGAGTTGAGGAGAAAATGTGAAGCAATCAACTTTTTACAAAAACTTCCGGAATATGTCATAAGAGTAAGAATCCGCCCAAGTCCGTTACTAAATAGCTCCTTCTGCTCTCTGAATCATAGGAAACCTGAGGCTTATGCAGTCTCTGGGTGGGGTACATAATTCCCATACTGTTCAGAGTTAAGCCTCAAATTTTCAAAAAACTGCTCGCCATCCATTAGTTGCTAAAAGATAAGGTCACCGAGAACATAGCTGTTCGGGTAGTTCATGAAGGAATGGGTTTTCCCATAATCATGCCGGGAAACTTTTATTATTCGGACTGGTATTCAGTATATACTGCAATGATGCGTTGGTGAAACCCGTATGATTTAAAATGTGAGAACTAGAGCGAGCATTGAGTAAGGGTGGTGCATATAAGCGATGGAAAGGGTGGAGTAGACTAAGCCTAGACGTTAGGAACTGCCTATGAGTGCCTGCTTGATCTCGCTAGGCAAATTTAGCTTATTGAACTAATCGTGTGTGGCCGCTGTTATATCACCAAAATTGTGTGTAGGGCTGTAACACAACAACGATTGTGAAGGAGTATCCTTGGGGGCGCGTATAGAGATTCATCGACTATTCATTTGCCATACCATGGATAAGCCGCCATAGATGGCTCCCTCGGTGGCTGCGGAATCAGTGGAGCAGATGCGGAAGTGCTCGATGCATGCCGACCAAGAATACCTCAGTTGTGTACGTCAGGTTTGGAACTACCTACCAAGTACCAGTTATTACGAATTGTGAAATCCTACATTTTCTAACCATTGAGCTTATAAGCGGCTTCAAATACGCTGTTTATAGTTATCGAATGCACAGTCGGATTTATGCATCCAGCATTCATCACGTTTGTTCTACGCACGTTCCACCCACTGTGGGCGGAGTCTAGTCTCGCCATTTATCACCGGTGTGCTCATACTGCCGCTTGCACTCCTACCAACTTCGAACACTCTAGATTCAGCAGGAATCTATGTAATCCTATATAAAAACATTTAGTTCGCGCTCCCTGTGGGTGGAGTCCAGTCCTGCGATCCACCCTAAGTGTTCCCGTCCTGCCACCTGTTCTCCAACCAAATTTGACAGGAGTTATGAATTTCTGTTAACACACACATACACATACATACATAGGCATGGTGACAGGTTTCTTGCGAATATTTAACACCTTTCCGAAAGGTTCAGCATTAAAACAAGGGTAGCCTTCGTCTCAAGCCATTTATTTGCCTCAGTGAAAGTCAATGGTTCGAGGGCGCCTCAGCATTCACTTTGACGAGGTTGGTCCAATTTGACCGCAAGGATTTTGTCCAACGGTTTTTCATTTACCGGCATTTCTGTCTGCACGCCTCGGTCGACGTGGCTGACCACCGACAGCTTCTGGGGAGAAGTCTGGGTCTCAACTTCTTGTCGCGTCGGCACCTCCTCAACGTCTTCGAAACTCACGAACTCGTCGAAATCCTGAAACATTAGCTTATTTCCGTTGACCTTCAAATATCGCTTCCTATTTTAGATAGTCGAACACCCAAATGTAGGGCTTCGGAATAGTTGCAAATTGTGCAAAGTCACTACGGATCACCCCAATCGGTTTTTCATAGTGCCTCACCTCTTCATTCTCTTCTTCTTCGTCCAAATGAACAGCAAAACAGACGAGAGCGATCAGAACGCAGTCCAGGATGACGCACAAACATATGCCAAGCACGGGCACCTCCCTACAAAATAGACCAACACAATTACTGAACTTCTCAGTTCTACTGGGGGCTGATTTGAACAAAGAAAAACAACTATCCCTGCTTAGAACCCAGCCACAAGTTTCGAAGGCAAGTGAGAAGTTTTGAGAGGACGTGGAGGGCAATATGCTTCTTCTAGTTGATCAGTTAAGGTTGTGGTGAACTCGTGGGAAACAGTATAGAGTAGAAGTAGAAGCAAAGCAGTATGGGAACTTGGGACAGCTAGCCCACAGCTCAAAAACTGGACAAGCTTAAAGGTGATGGGCTCCAAATCACTTACTACTACTACTACTAGCTCTGCTCTTCTACTTTGTTCTCTATTATTTCCAATGCAGCATCTTGCCCTTACACTTACTAGTCCCTCCTTATGAAAGCCATCATATTACAGAAATGGCCGATCCATAAACTGAGCATTATCAGTTAACCGAATGTCTCTCGGTCCTCCCCATTCACCAACGCTTTTCTGGAGCATTTGCCAATGGATGTTAACTTCTGGATGGCATCCTCTAACCAGCTCATCCTGTCTTACCCTTACTTGAAATCTTTTTACAACACACCTTCCAAAGTGGAACCTCCTCATTTTGCGGAACTCTTCACGGGAGCTGTCCTTCAGATACACCTCTGAAAACGTTCTTTCTGTAAGTCTTCTAAAATTGGTGAATACCGGTAGTATGTCTGGCTGCAGAGCAAGACCCATCAGATGCGTGAGATCATTGAAGCAGGCGTTACGTGGGCAAAGCATAAGGGGTGCTGGTCACGCCTGTTACCATGATCGGAACTTTCAGGCATCCCTTCCGTTGCAAACTGTGCCGCGACCTCACAGAGCTTGTTGTTCTAAGCCTGACAGCATGCCCTCTGTTGTATACAGTTATCCAGTTCTGTGCGCCAACTTCAACTAGCGCTTTAGATTTCTTATCCAAGTCCCTCGTTCTTCGAAAATTAGCCACACTAACACAGCAAAAGAAGTCTAGGAGGATGACCAACCGTCAGTATTAGGTCCAACTTTGGCCTTCGTAGTGTTCAGTGGCGATTCATCCGCACATTCCGACTTGTTCATGAAAGGAGTCGTGGCATCGGTCATCATGGATTTGCATTGCTGGGCAGTGCTGTTATCAAAGCGGTATATCAACGCTTCGAAAGGAAAGCAGCGGTCCGGCACAGAGGCTTGTGAGGTTCTGAAAGGAAGTTTATCTAGGGAGTTATTAGACTGATTACGAAGCATTCGTGCTGCCATGCTTGTAGTCAGTAACTAACTATTAGCTATGTTTACTCTGACGTTTATCGCCAAACCTGAAGACGCACACCGAACTGGGCTCTACACAATGAATGCACAATGGGCTACACGCGTGGGTCATGTACACCGATCGGTACAACATACCTAAGTTTCCTGGGCGTAGGTACTTCTCCCCTAAATTCGCCCACCCGAATGCGTGCCATGGCGCTCTGTGAAGGGTCTGGTTCGAGAACCACTGCCGTTTGCTTTGGGAATTCGAGGAGAAGTATCGCCACCCTAACCCGACCGCTCACTCTCATTTGCATGCTCCCTTGCTTGTTATAACATTAAGTTTACTCCATAGTGCTTATCACGATATGAGGAGTTATGCATCATTGTTCTCGACTCATTCCTGCCACGATACCTACCTCTACAAAATTAGATCTCGCCAACTTCTGAAATAGTCCATTATGCATCTTTTCATCGACAAAATTCAAGGTCACTCGAGAATACTTACAGTTTCGGAGTAATCGCAACTGGGATGTTCACGAAGTCACGGGTACAACACATTGACGTGAATTCGCACCTGTACTTCTGCAAAACTCTCTTTAACTGTAAGCAATCAGGCTCCATTGCAGTAGAAAATGCACTTGAGCCGCCTTAGGCACGAATTCTGTTTTCCGACAAAATCTGATGACATGGTGGAATGCTTAGAGGGAAACTTTTGAAGCTTCAGTATTCTGAACTGGCAGGGTTCGGTTGGGTACACTTCTGACACTTACCGAAAACGTGCTATTGTGAATGTCCGAAACGCATTGGCTTGAGACGAGTAGGAGGGTTAGTAGACCTGGAATGGATATATCACGAAACAGGACAGCTGCTTCGGATCCTCACTAAGCCAAAGCTTAAGTCAACGAAGACTACATTCGATCACAAAACGAACGACCTAGTAGCATGCCGCCGTCGACGAGCAGCGTGAAGAAATGAGCTCTACTAGAGTCACAGGAGGTTATCGAGGAGTTTATATCATCTTATCATTATTCCATTGTATCGAACCGAATTAGCTGAGCGGTGGTGGCAAGTGTTCATGATGAACGGCCCTCCTATGACGACCAGAAAGTATTGACAGAACTTCATACCTCTCCTCCAGCATGTTTCCGGATTCTTTGGCTTCTGTGCCAATGTCTTTGATTTGCTCCATTCATCGAAACAAGTCCGCCTTCAGTTGAGGATGTTGACCAAGCTGTTGGGTCGAAATACAGCCTGTATAGGAAGTCATAGAGTCTTAGCCTAAGTGGCGTACTCCAAAATGCGTGTGGCCATCATCTACTGTTTAATCTCTTCGTAAAATTCAAACAACAGTTACAGCCTTTAAAGGAAGTTTCTGCGATGGCGAAGTCGATCAATTTTTTCAAAACCGTAGGATTTTCACTGAAATCAGACAGTCACGACATTTTCCTATGAGTAATCATGCTGAATTAATTCGCTACGTTCTACGAAATGAGTAAGTAAACACTCCAAATCTGAGTGAAGCTCCGCACAGTTCAGCATCTGCCTGCCAACAATATAATTGAATAAGCTCCTGCTTTTCTCTCCTTTCTAAGGGGCTATGCAAATTTCTCTTTCATCTTTGTAAATGTAGAACTTCAGTAATTAGCAAGCGTGTGTTATGCCTACATCCAGCCATATATCAAGTGAGTTTGAAAAATTCGAAGTTTAACGAGTATCCGCGATCTCGTGATACTGCTGGTCGCATAATTGACAGGAATGACGCTTATGATTTCCCGGCTTTGCCAGCTCATCCTTCGACGCTCCAACGCCGTTTTGCCATTAATAAGTTTATTCAGGCAAAGAATTGCAAAAATGATTCGAAACGTAACAAATTCACATCAAAAACCCGTAATGACTCAGCCACGTAATCTTAAACATTCAACAACAATCACAGTTCTTCTCATAGATGATTTGTAATCGTGAGACTGGAAGCCCGTACACGCCACCGTTATATCGTACGAATCTTAAAAATCTTGATTCTTGAGCTTAGTAGTTCCAGGCTGTACAAGTGTGGAGCACAATTTTCGAGCATAAAATAATACTATTCAATTGATTATTTCTTGACATCCCAAATAATTCGCTTAGATTCACCGAAGTCAAGTCACAGCTCACAATATAAATGCCACCTGATGATTCTCTCACGATGAATGCACATGTAGGATAGCACAGGGGAAGCTGTCGAGTCGAAAACGGCTCAGGAGAAGCCTAATAGGAACCTACAAACAGTCTAACCGACGGATGCACCTAGAGGTTTCTCACTGTAGAGGTTCTAGAGGTTGCACCATTTGCACTGGGAGGCACACTTTGCATGCGAGCAGATTACTGTTACCAGCTGTACGCAATGGTACACACATTGGGATAGCTCGTCCCAATGCCACTTCCATGCAACTTCTGTTGCACATTTTCATCTAATCTCTGATTTCACTGGTTTTTGAAGAATTATAATTTTCCGAATACGCGGATTTATCATCGCCACATTGGCACTATTCTAGTCTAGCATCCCATTAGTCATCTTGAACTAGCTACCCAAGAACTGCCCCTCAGGCAAAAATTAAGTCCCTCAGAACTCTGTCTCTGTCAGAGCCAACGAACGAACCATGGCTATGAAGATAGACACTATAGAGAGGTGCTGGATGATTATACCGTGTATGCACCGTAAACCGCGGCTGCCCTGAGTAGAGCATTTCAGCGTTTGGCAGAAAAGTTACCTGCATGGAACGGAATTATAGTGCTCCAGAAAATCGCTCGAACGAAAAGCTGCTTTTGGCACAATCCTACACTTGATTCGAAAGAAGGGCCTTCCTTAGCTGGCATTCTATACACCGTGGCAGTAGGTAAGCCCCATCAACTTATTTCCTCATCAGGTCACCTGATCGAAATTCTCAAATCCCATAAATGCAATATCCGTAAATGCAGGTAAAGGATTTGACCCACGAATATCTTGTGGAGATTTCGATCTTTCTAGATGTTTCAAAGCACTTTGCACCAGAAGCTGAGGTAGAAATCAACCTCCAATAAAGTGTTTCAAAGAATTATCAGATTATTTCACCTTCATACCTTCAGACACAGTTTGGACAGACGTGGAGGCTTTCATGGAGAAGTATGTCACAATCAAAGCAGAAAATTGCACCACACGATTTGCAAGTGAAGCCTTCGCCTGATAGGGGGTGTTCACATGCCATGCATTCACTGAAAACGAAATGATTTATACATTGACAACGGAAAACCTTATATTGGAATTACCCCTCAGTCACGGATACAGGGGTGAAAGCAGGAAGCGGGGCCAAATGTCGGAATGCTCGAGCTAGCTGTGGGGCAGAAACGAGCGTCATCCGGCAGACACGGCACTCAGCTGGTAGCGAACAATGTCGAGCTCCACATTGTTCGCAAAGAAAACCGCGCGATGTTGACAAAGGTGCAGACATTGGATGACTAAAGAAATGATGAAGTGAAATTCTAACAAGTCGGTCAAAAGCCTCACCAAACGCAGAATGAGCGCTCTCGAATGGTCATATGAGGAGGAAATGCAACTCGAATTGCATTACACTCTGCCGCTTTCGTCGAAGGAGGAGGTGCAGTGTGTTGCGAAAGAAGAAGTTCGAAATGGTCTTGATCAAGGACGACATCGTACCTACCTGGAAAATAACTATCACACTGCTAGCAAAGTCAAGACAAATAAACGTTTGGAGAAACTGTAGACCTGTTCTTGTGTTCTTCAATTATGTCCAGGGTGTACTGCTTAGTAACTAGGTTAACGAGGAAGCACATTGAAGAGCTCGTAAAGGATACGAAAACATCAATAAGCATACAGTGCTTACGTTAATTCTTACCTGACTCGTGATTTTAGCTACCGATTGACAATAATATCTACTAACATGAATTTGTGCAAACAATCATCTAGTAAAGAAATAATCCTCGAGAAGAAACTCACCGTTAGTGACTTTTGCCAACTGCTTGCAAACAAATAACTCCGCACTTATTCCTATCACAGAACAACGGATATTATGCCCTCTCAGAACCTTAAAAAAGAAGTAATGAATGAATCGGGTAAAGCATACGCATGAAAAAACGGAACCCTACAAAGCAGAAACCTCAAACGTGGAGAACACGTTTCCTGGATCCACTGTGGATAAGCTGGACATGATCACTATCACTTCACGAGAAACGTGACCAGGTAGGCTTCTAAAGTAAGCAAGGCGTAAGAAGGGGCTTAGTACCACGGTTCTGGAGAGTTCGAATAACTTTGGCGATTGAGACCTCACTTCGATGTAGGGGAGGATATGGTTAAAAATGACAGAGAGAAGTATTTGCTTCCATCATCCCTTCGACTACAAAATATTCCTTTTTATCAAGATAGAATAGACAAGGACCATTTGTGACGATTCCGCCTCTTGCTTTCCTAATTACAAAATTGCCAGAGTGATGAGAGGAAGGAAAGGTGCGATGGAAGGAAAAATGACCTGACTAATCGTAGTCATATGTAATTTCAACCCATGAAAAACATCACAAAGGAAAACGCGAAAAAAATGACAGGAAATATCGGATCAATTCCAAGCGTGGTTTGAGGTTATTCGCGTATCAAAAAGGTTTTTTAGCAGATGAATATCAGGTGCAGTTATATGGATGCGAAATGCTGAAATAACTAAAGAATACCACTCACTTCAAATTGGTGAGTGCAAGCTGTAGGGCATTTTGAAGCGAGAAGTCTCCACTACATATAGCTTCATTAAGCGAAGCCAGATTGTCTTTCAAAGCTCGGACATTTGCTGAAAAAATGTCCAATAATCATTCTTGTGAAGTTGAATGCCTTGAAAAGGGAAGTACGGAGAGCACAAGGAGAGTAACTCTTCAAGCAAAAATAAACGATGGCAGAAGAGGTACCTGTAAGACTAACGAAACGTTCTGCTTTCTTATCCTTCACAATAATTATTCCCAGTTGTGAAATCGGATTCTGCTCGAAGAATTTGTCAATGAATGTGTTCAAGATCTACAAAAAAGAGAAAAAGTTTCATTCAAAAGCGAAAAAACCAACTGAAGAGGACGTTAGAGAGCCCATCTTCACAACCCTGTTTTTCCAATAACAATAATAATGAAAATCCTGTGGTCAAATTTTTGTCGTAAGCTTAATGCTTCATACTGTTACTACCCTTACACTTATAAAACATCACTTACAAGTTGCGAGGTAATCGCGATCAGCACACGCGACCAGTTTAGTCATGTACGCTCCTGCCGAACACTTCACTGGCTACTGCTTCTCCATTCTGGCCGCTTTTATACCTCCCCCAGATAATTCATACCGCTTATGCTAGGGCTTGAAGCCATTAGGGAGCTTGAATATGTCTGCTTCTCTTCGTTTTCCCGCGTGCGTCGAATGATCATATCACAACGGACGCTTCGTAATTTACCAAGAGTAACGAAGCAGAAAAACCACGTTCGCAGACCTCGAAGGCGTTGAATCCAAGCATGATTCGCATGAGCCGCTGACCTCATGCTAGGACCGAGTGTGGCGATGGTCTTTGCTATAGGTTTTCGTTAATCGATTGGTGGAAGAGTTCTCTCCATAAAGCATCGAAAACAAACACGGAACAACAACAAGGAAAAACCATTGTCAATACCTTCATAGTAACAAAAAATCGAGACGGTGGCAACACTTTACTTGTCATTGATCGCGAGCAATCGATAGCTACATAGACGTAACGCATCTAAATGAAAAAAAAATTGGAAGGATAAAGTGAAGACACCGAACTTACTATGCCAAGACGAATTTTTGACGGCTTCTCGATCGTACGCTGCTTTTTTCTCGCCTCCATAACGAGCTTTGCAATAGATTTCTCAATAGATCCACCTTCATCTTCCTCCAATACCTCGCGGATATTCAAACCTACGATTCAAAAATTATAATCCCCAAGAATCCAATCTGTATCTCCTATGCAAATATATGTGTATATATGAATAACTTTTATATATACATTTCTATATACAGGAGTACACATGGCAAAGTGTCTTCCCCACAACCCTTATCGGTGCGTAACTAAAAAGAAATTATCGAGCAACAACGGTATCTTAACTCACCGTCCGCATATCCAGCTTCCCAAGTGTATCCTTTCTGGTCATCGTCCTCGGTCATGTTGTTGAAAGCTCGTTTGTCTGGAAACGATAGCGCTCTTCAATAATGTCAAACACGGGGTTCAGAGTGCTGCAGCAGCTTGGAAGAGGAAGGAGGAAGTAGGATCGGCGAAGGTCAACTTGATTCTTCCCTCCTCTGCATTATTGGCCGTGGCGATGAAAGGGGCCACGGCCAGTAATGCAGAAACAGGGAAGAATCAAATGTTTGGTGGCGCTTGAAAGGGGCCTGCGCTGTCTCGTATAAGGTGGCTTCAGATAGGACTGAGATTACTGTGAAACAGCCGATTTGAACACCAGCAAACTCTTTCTATGATCGGTAGAGGAGGAGCGAAAAATGCGGTCGCCGAATGGCGCTCATGAGCACCCACCCCCTCCCTCTTCCTCAGCGCTAGCAAAATAACATGAAATCAGCGAAAACAAAAGGAAAACTCAAAGATAGTTCTTCTTCACCCCAAAGCAAAATTGGGAGGAAAAAGCTTAAGCTCGCGCCTGTTCCTTTTTGAAAAGAATAAACAAGACAGCGCGTTAGCTCCGCAGCCGATACTTCGACGCCTATTTTTTCATATTTTTATTTCACGTAAAAATACCTCAAGTCGCGTCGTGTAATTACACACTGTAAGGACCACCGTATCCTCTGACAACGGGTATGTGTACGAACGTGCGTCCGAGGGT